TCTGGGGTCCCTACACTGAGGTCCCTGCACTGGGCTCCCTGCACTGGTCTGGGGTCCCTGCACTGGGGTCCCTGGTCTGGGGTCCCTGCACTGGGGTCCCTGCACTGGGGTCCCTGCACTGGTGTCCCTGCACTGGGGCCCCTGTTCTCGGCCCTGGGCAGGACGTGGGGCACAGACACTCATCTCTCTTGGGCAGAGCACTCCCCTCGCATGGAGCAGGGGTTAATCCAATCCTTTTGACTCTGTTTTTTATTGAGCTCGAGAGGGGTTGGCCTATTAATTAGAAAGGCTGTTTCATGTAAAACACAGGCTCTTCTGCAGATAAGAAGGGACGACGAGGCTGGATTTTGCCGTGGCACGGATCCGTCTGCTATTCCCTGACATCCTTTCACAGGCTGCAGGCACCACGGGCTGCAGCCACTTCCCACAGCTCTTTTGTTCGCTGCAGGGCTCCAGAGGCAGGATACATACACACAGGCACGTTTAAAGCACTCAGGTTTTCCTGGGTGCCAATAAGGCCCAGCAGGAGATGGATATGCTGTGCCTGGAGGTGTCTCCAGGCTGGGCTGGGATCCTCAGGGGGAGCAGGATCTGGTCCGTGCAGCTCTGAGGATTAGAGCTGACAGCAAGAAGTGAGCAGTGGAGCAGATGCACTGCCTTACAAATTACAGCAGAAACCCAGGCAGCCATCTGCACCCCATCCCTCCCCCAGATTTCTGTGCCACCCTTGGCACTGCCAACCCCCCAAAGCCCCAGACACCCCAACCACAGCTGGGGGACACCCAGCTCTGGCCTCTTCCAAGCTGGGCAGGCAGAAACGGTGCTTCCCGAAAAAATGAGTATTTTGGGAGGTCTCCAGGGCCACCTCGTGCCCCTCCAGCCGTGCCCCAGCACGGACACAGAGCCAGGGATGGGCAGCGCCGGCGGCTCCATGGCCAACTGGTCCCGTTAAACCACTACACATCACTTCCCTGATGCTTATGGATTTTTCCTTAATGCCACAAATTAAGGTAATTGGGCTCGGCTGGCTGATGAATCCAGCTGAACTTGGCAGGAGGAGGGAGTGTCCATGCCGAGATTGATCCCTCTCATTCCCAGCTGTGCCCGGGGCTGCTCCTCACCCAGCTCTGCCCCTGCGGCTCCCTGTGCTGCCTTTTGCTCCCCCAGACCCCAAACCCAGCCTGGAATCCCTTCCCTGAGCTGCAGCTCCTCCTGGACGAGGCAGTCACTCCTGGGGGAGGCGTTTTCTCCTCTCCAGGCGCTTTTCCCTGCACATTTCCCTGCCGCCAGCTGAAATCCTGCCCGTAACTCCATCCTCCCTGGCTCTGCTCTGCGGCCAGGCAGCGAGGTGTGACAGAGCAGGGATTAAACGCGATCTTTGTGTCCTCTGGGAGAACAAGGGCAGTGTCTGGGCAGAGCCCGGAGCTCCAGGGATCTGGTTTCACAGTCCCTTTTGTTCCCAGCCCTCCCTGCTCGCCCACCAACCTCCTCGGCATGTGGAGCAGACGGTGCCAGGCAGCTCGGCCAGCAGCTCTGGGTGTCCTGGCCACAGGGTCACAGCCACACCAGGCACCACAGCTTCTGGGGCTGAGGGGCATCACTGGGCTGCCAGCAGCATCCCCCCAGCACAGCCAGGCACCCACCCCCAGCCTCACCCGGGCATGGCCACGGGCAGGGGAGAACCAGCCAAAAATCCTGGTGACAAGAGGGAACCATATACCATATAACCAAATAGCTTAGTCCAGGCAGCCACCAGTCATGCTCCATGCAGGCAGTGGACTTGGAAGAGGCTTTGTGGGATTTCTGCCTGCTTGCTCATGGGTTCTGTGGGTCCTGCTGAGGAAATGCAGCCTCTGGACAGGGCAGTTGTGCCATGCCTAGGACAACTGTGCCGTGGCCAAGGTGGTCATGCCATGCCCAGGATGGTTGTGCCGTGCCCAGGATGGTTGTGCCATGGCCTAGGTGGTCGTGCCATGGCCAGGATGGTCGGGCCGTGCCCAGGATGGTTGTGCCATGGCCTAGGTGGTCGTGCCATGGCCAGGATGGTCGGGCCGTGCCCAGGATGGTTGTGCCATGGCCTAGGTGGTCGTGCCATGGCCAGGATGGTCGGGCCGTGCCCAGGATGGTTGTGCCATGGCCTAGGTGGTCGTGCCATGGCCAGGATGGTCGGGCCGTGCCCAGGATGGTTGTGCCATGGCCTAGGTGGTCGTGCCATGGCCAGGATGGTCGGGCCGTGCCCAGGATGGTTGTGCCATGGCCAAGGTGCCTGTGCCATGCCCAGGATGGTCGTGCCATGCCTAGGATGGTCATGCCATAGCCAAGGTGCCATGGTGTGAGTGCCATCCCTCCTGGGTGCTGCAGGATGTGTCCCCAGCGCAGAACCTGGAATGGGGAGAGTTAACTGTGTCTATCTCACTGGGACCAGGGTGAGCAAGTGTTTTGGCTTAACTGGGTGACAGGTGCCTCGGGGGGGGGTGACACATGAGAGAGGAGCCCTTCGTGCCTGCCCTCCTTTGTGGGAGCTCAGCATCTGCCTCCAGCACCCCCGGATGGGTCTGTGGCAGGATAGTCCCCATTCCACCACAGACAGGGTGATGAAACAGCTCTCAGAGCATCACAGGGGACCCCAGGGCAGGGGGCTCCTCCAGCTCTGGCAGCAGAGCAGAGCCCAACCTTGCCATGCCCACACTCTGATGGGGCACCAAGGCAGGACTGAGGGCAAACACCCATGTGCCAAAGCTTGGGGGATTGTAGTGGGGGATCCCCCGGGGCCAAGGCCTCCGAGTCTGTCCCGCTGGGAGGGACAAGCCTGGCCCCAACCCGAGTGACAAAGGCAGGTGGGATTGTTCCCATGCAGTCCTGGGTCAGCATCCCCCGTGTGGGAGCTGGGGCCGCACTCCGTAACCTTGAAACCCTCTGGGGCTCACATGTCACGTCAGCCAGTGACAACAACAAGCTGCTATTCCAGATTAGAGGAGAGGGACAGAGAAAGGCAGAGACAACAGGGCTGGGGGTGGCTGACTTACCTATTACAGCCAAAAGTGGGCATGGGGCTATTTTTAACCCAGAGGGGGATGTATTTATTGTTTCAGCCAGGAGGAGGGAGGAACTGCCATCGAGACACCTCTCACAGCAACAGCAGCAGCTGTGTGAAGCCATGGTGAGTACTGAGAGCACAAAGCCCCAGCAGAATCCATTAGATTTTCCCACCAGGATAGCTTTAACAGGAAGGGAGAGATGGAGGCGACAGAGATCCGAGGGCTGAGGGTCCCTCCTGCCCTGGAAAGGGGGTGAGCAAATTGGGGAGCATCTGGCTGGATCAGCAGCATCCTGTGGGGAACAGAGAGGTGTCTCCCATGCTAGCAGAGCTTCCTAACTGGGACAGATCACTCCGGGATCCAAATGCCTTTTTTCTCCTTTCCCTCCCTCCATGCAGTGAGAGGAAGGGCTGTGGTATCCCCCAAAACCTTCCTGCTCTGCCTTCTCCTGGCAGACACCCTGGAGAGGGGGAAAGGCTGCCAGAGGGGCACTGGAAGGACAGGTGGGCAGGGTGGGACAGCCAGGGGCTCTGTCCTCCACTCCTCTTTAAAACACACTCGGAGATGTTTCGTGTTGCTTCAAGCCTCAGTGCAGGAGGAGACAGATTTTTTATTAAGCAAACATTTGAATAAGTGCACAGCAGGGCAAGGAAGCATCTAACATCTGCAGACCTTGTGTGCAGCCTCAGGAGTGCTCCCAAACCTGAGGGAGCTCTCACCCCAGTGCTGATCCTTTTACCTGCTGTAGCCTTCGGTGGGGAAGTGACTTCCAAGCTCATCCCTCTCTGGACTGATTTGGCTAAATTCATCAGGATCTGTAATTTACACAGGAATCTTAATGCCCCTCAGTATCCCAGAGCTCCTGAGAAATTCAGGGGGGAACCACCAAGCCCCCAGGGAACAGAGCCCCAGCCTAGAGCTGCCACAAAGGACTCAGGACTGAGCATGGTGCAGTTCCACGCTTTTGTTCCAGCCCATCAAAAGGCAGGGAGCTAATGATGCATTCTTGGACCCCTGCAGGCTCCCAAGAAAGCCAAGAAGAGGATTGAAGGTGCTAATTCCAATGTCTTCTCCATGTTTGAGCAGGCTCAGATCCAGGAATTCAAAGAGGTAGGTGGGTTGGGTAGGAAGAACTGAGGGTCCTTGATCCGATGTGACCTTCAGCTCTTCCTTCAGTGCTCTAAGATCCAGGGCAGCTGGTTCTCAACAAGAGGCACCACGACTAGTTTTGGGTCATTTTGCTTTAAAAGTGAGAATAACAACTCAGTGACATGGTTAAACACAGCATTGCCTCCAAGCTCACACCCTGCAGAGGAGCTGGATGCACCGGGAGTCCCACAGCACATCTCCCAGCTCGGTCCCACCTGCCACACCAGGAGATTTCCCTCCAGCATGGCAGGCACATGGTCCTGTATTATCCAGTTCCAGGGATACTTGGACCCAGTTGGGGGAGCTGATGGCTCAGCTGGTCTCTCTCGGAGGTTTCCTACTGGAGGGAGAAGGTTTTGGCCACGGAAAGGGTTTGTACAGCATTAGGGTTTGGGTTGCCACTCCTCAGGGGTGCAGGGTCCAGGATTGCTGCCTGAAAGGTGATGGTTGTTGCTCCCTCGCTGGGTGAGGACCCTCAGAGCCCCATCCTGGGAGGGCTCAAAGTGCCCCTGTCCTATCCAAGTTGAAGGGAGGAGGAGGAGCCTTTGCAAAGGCCAAAAATTCTGCCTCTCCCTGTGCTCCCTGCCCTCCTTTTGTGCTTCCAGGCGTTCACCATCATGGATCAGAACCGCGACGGCTTCATCGACAAGGCAGATCTGAGAGACACGTTTGCAGCTCTTGGTGAGGCTCCTTCTAGGACCTTCCCCTTCCCAACAGCTTGACAACACTAGACAAAACTAGACCTGTTAAGCAAGAAACGAGGGGGGAGCTCCCATTTAACCCATCCCAGGTCTTTAACTTGCCCCCAAAACCTCCTAATCCAAACCCACACGTGTTACCTGGTGGGACCCATGTGGGTGAGAGAGCAGCTCCCACAGCAGCAGAGGTTTATCCCAGAGTTGCTAGAGCCAGGTCCTGGATTGCACAGCCAAATACTCCCTGCCTTTTCCCGTGCTGAGCAGCACCTGGCTGTGCCCATCCCACGGCATCCCGGGGTATTAAGGGGATTTATGGGATTTGTGGAGTCTGTGACATTACGAGCTTGGCTCTCCCAGCTCTGAGGTCAGCACAAACCAGCAATGAGGCTGGGGAGTCCCAAGGACAGCCCAACCTCAGGAAAAAGCATGTAGGGATTCAGTGCCCTTCACTTCAGGCACCAGGGGCTAGGGGGAACCCCAGCACTGGTGGTTTTGACCCAAAGCATCTGAGAGGGGCTGAAACAGGCTGATCCATGGGGCAGTGAGGGAAGGAAGCAGCACAGCTCAGTCTTTTGCATCCCTCTTTTCTGTGAACTTGAAGCCCCAGAAACCAGAGCCCTCCCACCCTCACTCCTGCTACTGCCTTTCCTTGTCTGAGGTTGCTCCCCAGGGATGTGCTGCTTCCTTTGGGCAGGGAGAAAACCTCCAGGGGGAGGAATCTGCTCTGTGTGGTTTAGCCCCAGCACTTAGAGCAGAACAGCAGGACACAGACACACACTGACCCAATGCTGCTCTCCCCAGGGCGCCTGAATGTGAAAAACGAGGAGATCGACGAGATGATAAAGGAAGCACCTGGTCCCATCAACTTCACCGTGTTCCTCACCATGTTTGGGGAGAAACTCAAGGGTGAGAGGGCACCTGGGGAGCTGGGGAGGTAGTCGGTGGGCACCCACACTGTCATCAGCATCCTGTCCCACCTGGGGAAACCACTCAGCTCCTGGCCCCAAACCTTTGCGGGTGAGACAGGAAGCACAGGAACTCCCCAGAGGTAGAGACTTCAGTAGGACCATCACTGACAACAGCCTCTCTCTCAAAGAGCTCCAGCCCTCATCCTCCAAATCCTGATCCTGGGCACTCTCCCTGCCTTCCTATCCTGAGACACCACAGAGAGGACAAACTCAGCATCATGTACCCTGAGCAACTGTCCCCTGGGAGGTCCCTGTGCCCCCAAACTCATGCAATACCAACAGTGCCAAAGTCCAAAGATCTGGCTCTCACATCCCATGTCTCCCCAACTTGCTGAGGGGTATGAGATGAGCTCCATGCCTCAGTTTCCCCAGACATTTAAAAAAGCCAAGCAGCTGTGATGCTGCTGTCCCCACAGGAAGAGGGGACAGGAGTTCTTGCAGTGCCTCTGAGTGCTCTGACACCAGTGGTGGCACCAGTGGCAAACCCGAGTGCACCCTGCATCACATACTTAACCCCAGGAATGCAACCTCCTGCAGATCTCCAGGAGGCCACAGCCCCCGAGGGCTGTGCCTGGAGCTCTATAAATACACCCAAAGATTAGATAAATGCCGGAGTGGTGGCGACACAGCCTGCTTTGTACTCACACCCTGTCTGCACCTCTGAGTGCCACCACTCACTCTCCAGTTTCCAGCTGCAGGGCCAGCATT